GGATGTTTATTACTAGTAACTGAAAGACATAACAAGATGGCTCTAATGCTTAGGGGATGTTTATTACTAGTAACTGAAAGACATAACAAGATGGCTCTAATGCTTAAGCCTTCTCGAGCAGCTTCTTTATGTCCTTCTGCAAAGTACGAAGGGAACAAATTTTCAGTTCTTGATTACCTTGCCAATGCATGAAATTGAGATTGCCAGATAGTATGGATGATATTTACCTCGATGCTAAGAGGAGATGTTGTGGGAGCATAGCGATCAACAACACGCCCCTCTTTGTCAACAAGGAATTTGGAGAAGTTCCATTTAATACTGTCCCCCAAAAAACCCCCTTTGCTCGACTTGAGGAACTTGTATAGTGGAGCAGCATTGGAACCATTTACATCAACCTGAACCAAGAAAACACGATCACGGTCAAAACCCTGTCAACAAATTCATCTAATAGACATATATCATCCTCTTTTTCATCTTAATAATCTATATTGCCGTCCACAAAACAACCTTCATATCAACTTTTTGCTAATGCGCTTGTTTCCCTTTGTCATAATTAAGATTGTTTGACTGAAGAAATAGTTCATTTATAAAAACCTAGAAATAAGCTCCTCAATGATTATTACCTTGTCAAATATGGGATACTCGGCCTTAAATCGGGTGCAAGCAAACTGTTGAATCTCTTCATTAGTGCCAGGTTCTTGTGAGCCAAACTGATTGCATGGAAATGCCAGAATCTCCAAACCTGTGCGATAGGCAAATAACAATTCATAAATTCTGGCACTCAAAAAAACAAAATAGGGCTTTAAAAGTTATTACGTTTCAACTTGCTACTGGTTATACCTTTAAATGGAACAGTAAAACGTGACACATTTTACCGAAAACTTACCAAAAAATGCACTTGGATGTAAAAACAGAAATAGATTTATTTTCACGTATTTTTTGTCATAATTATTGGTTGTAAGTTCAAAAGTATCCCAGTTTATTAATCTGGCAACTTCCCATTTTTGTTGTCAATTTCAAGTATATATACTAGTATACTTAATGAGACAAACATTGATTTGAGATATTCCACGCTATAAATGAAATTCCCATCTACACTTTTTTCTCCTAAGCATCCAAATTTTATTTCTTCTTTCAACTCTCTTTAGTCGCATGAATATGAAAATTCAGCCCAATGACAAAATAAGTAAACTTCACAATTATTGTCCAAGTGCACAATCAAAGCGAAGAAAAGCAAACCAAATCAAACCTTGATCCTTGTACTTCTCATACACCTTTGTCAATTCCGTGTAATTTGAATTGGTGAGACCGCTGCAGCAAACAAGGAATAAGATAAGTTTCTTCAGAAAAGAGCGCAAGAATAAAAATAGGCCACTGAATAAATATACAGAAAATGCAATATTTAATACAAATGAAAAATAAAAACATGGAAATTGGCTTGCAGGGATACCAATAAAAACTGGCTTATTTCTATCACCTTATCGAGTTACAGACTTCTTGTCTTTCGAAAAGAAATTATTGCAAAACAAAATCATTCTTCATTATAGAAGTATTTATTATTATATATTACGATATCCATCGAAAGCATAAATTGAGACTTTTCTGCAAAGAAGAAGAAAAAAAAGCAATCGAAGAAGCTACCACACACCACTGCGATGCAACATTGACGATTAAGAGGACCTTTCCTTTGTAAATGCTCAAATCAACGTCATTCCCTTTAGCATCCTGCAACCACAAAATTACAGAACAATAGCAATTTACATTAGATAACATGTTTCATTGAGGTATGCTAAGATAACAATGGAAAAATTCATTCACATTCAAAAACATTGAGACAAATTCCAACAATATTTACGAAAAATAAGCAATTTAGCTCCAACTAAAAGCCAAAATCCATTCCAGACAAGATAATCCTTTTTTTTATTATGCTACAATAAATGAAGGCAACTTTAGGGGCATGACGTCAAACTATGAGAATCCTTTTATGCACACACAGCATTAGAAATATGTCATGAACATATCCTATTTTTGCAGCACGTAATACAAGGATGGGGTAGGATTTTATAAGCGTTTTACATCATAAACATTCCAAATAATAGTATAAACTAATGGTACTTTTGGTGCGTTGGACTAGGCCCCATCACAATAAACGATAGATCTCTTGTCAATGGAGTATATAAAAATGCAAAATTAATTGTTCCAATGGTTATTGGACGTATATCTATGTTTTCGATTGCTTACTGAAATTTAAATGTCGAGTTTTGATCACTGAATTTTGAAAAATGTTGTACGTTACTCATTGACATAACTTCCGTCTCAAACCTCTAATGGAATTGATGACATAGCTGACAACGCACATGCCCCATCACATCGTTAAACTTAGAGATAGTCGAATTTTGACCACTAAATTTTGAAAAATGTCTTCTATTACTCACTAAACTTTGAGGTGATTGAATTTTGGCACTGAACTTTGATATATTCGAACTATGCCCACTAATATCTAAAAAACATTTTCTATTACTCACTATAAATTTGGATATTATTAAATTTCTATTTATCTCCCTTTAAAACAAAACTCTTTAATTTTCATGGTCATTTTAATCATTTTTACATGTAAACTTAATTTTTTTTTCATTTTAACCACTCATTCTAAAAAAATCACTATTTAAAACTTCTTTTTTTAAAAAATAATGACCATCAAATAGGGGCTAAAATCCGTTGTTAAAATTAAAATTTAATTTAATTTTAATAATAAATATATTGTGCGTTTCATTGCAATTAGTAGTTACTTCCTTTGCACAGCTTTGCAAAACGTCTTCTATTGTTCACAATAAATTTGAATTTAATTAAAATTCTTTATTAAGATTTGAATTTTATTTTATTTAACAATAAATTTATTGTGTGTTTTGTTGTAAAAAATTCAAATATTATGATGATAATGGCTTAAAATTCTACAAAATAAATTAAAATTAAATTTAACTACTTTGTAATTGAGTAATCATTCTTAGTGGTATAGACAATACTTGCAAGACAATGACTACTAATTGCAATGAAACACATAATATATTTAATGTTAAAATGAAATTAAATTTGAATTTTAACAACGAATTTTAGCCTTTGTTTGATAGCCATTATTTAAAAAAAAGAAAAAAAAAAAAAGAGGTTTAAATAGTGATTTTTTGAAGAATATGTAGTTAGAAAGTTGGAAAAAGAATTATGAGTTTATGTGTAAAATATTTTATTATATAAATGTATGGTTAAAATTGAGAATGAAAATTCAAGAGTTATGCTTTAAAGGGAGATAAACAGAGGCTTAATTAAATTCAAATTTATAGTGAGCAATAGAAGATGTTTTACAAAGTTTAGTGGCCAAACTTCGACTATATCAACGTTCAGTGGCCAAAATTCAACCTCCTCAAAATTTAGTGAGCAATAGAAGATATTTTTCAAAGTTTAGCGGCAAAAATTCGACTATTTCAAAGTTTAACGGTGTGACGAGGTGTCACATGTGCATTTCGTCAGCCACGTCATCAATTGCATTAGAAGTTTGAGACGGAAGTTATGTTAGTGGGTAACGTATAACGTTTTCCATAGTTCAGTTGCCAAATCTCGATATTTTAAATTTAAGTGACATAGATATAAGCTCCGTGACCATTGGAACAATTAACTCTAAAAATGCTAAAGTAGATATGATATTCTCGAATCATTCTCTTATAATTTCCCCCCAACTAACAATAAAAATTCAAATTCTCGTGCAACTTTAACTTAAACTAGTTACAGGAAAACCATAAATGTCATGTTTGGGGAGAGGATTGGACATGATCGGCCAATACCATAGACTTAAGATCTTAAATATCTCCAATACTGCACATCAAAACATGCCCAACAATTTTACCTACCACTATTACACAACAATAAAGAAGATCATGACAAAAAAACACATTTCACAAAAGATTCCAAAACATCCATATCCTACACAAAAAATATTAAGAAATAAATTATAAACCCCACCCCACCCCCCCGGCCAAAAAATAAATAAATAAATAAATAATTCTTAACATCATCCGAAACTAAACAAAAGGTGCAAATTGGATACCTTAACAGTGAAATCATGAACTGATTGTGGGTTATTTGAATTGCTTGCCATTGAGCGATCTAATCTCAAGCCCGACAAAAACAGAGGCGTTCTTGAATTATTATCAGATGAAGCCACAGAAGACAAAAACCCTTTTTCAATCGACCGAGAAATCAAAGAAATTGATAAAATAGGCAGTGAATTAAAATGGGCTTGTCTTATAATTGAATAGAATTGCTTTGAATTTCGAAATCGAATTGAGGAACATAGCATATGGAATGATGAAACAAGGGTAATGTCAAATTTATAGATTTGTCAAGGGTAATTAGCACAGAACACCCTAATCTTTGCTTCTATTGTGGAATACCCCTTATCCTTTTATTTTGGTCGAAAATCCCCTATATGATATTTTCTTTGCAGAATACAACATTTTCTTTTTCTATTTTCTCAATAAAATCTTGTGAAATAATAAATATATCCTCATTTTTAAATAAAAACAATAAAGAGTTAATTGCAACTGGAATTCCAAATTTTTATATAAAAATGCAAACAAATCTCAAATAAATGATTAAAAAATTAAATGAACATATAAGTTAGTTTTTATATTTTATTTAAAAATTAAATTAAATAAATAAAATTTTCACTTCTATTTAAAATATTGTCGACATATAGTTAGTTTTAATAAATTTACAGTAATTAGTATATATATTATATATATGTAAATCAAATGAAGGACGACAAGATCATCAATAATATATCAGTGGTTTCTTCATCAAAGAACTATTAATAATCATTGATAATATAATTTATGATGTTGTCGTTGTCCATTTGATTTACTTATATATACTAATTAAAATAAGTTCATTGAAGACAAAATATAAGATAAAAATTAACTTATACGTTGTAATACTATAAATAAAATATAGTGAATTTTTTCTTTATTTTCTTTATTTTTTAAATAAAATATAAAAACTAATTTGTATGTTCATTTAGTTTTTAAATTAATTATTTGAGACTCGCTTGCATTTTATTTTCTTTAAATGAGACCACAATTATAATTAATTCGTTATTTTTTCTTGTTTTCTTTTTGTTTTATTTAAAGAGAATGGTATATTCATCATTTCATTAAACTTCGTTGAGAAAATGAAAGAATATTTTGTATTCAGCAAAGAAAACGTTATATAGGGGGATATTTCATTAAAATGAAAGAATATGGGATATTTCAAAATAGAGGCAAATGTTGTTAAGCATGAAAAGTCAAAATTGTGAGCTTGCTATCGTAAACTTACTTAGGGATGTCAATTTGGTTTGTCGTTTTGGACGGTCCGTGGATCGGTTCGAGAAAAGGCCGAGCCTACCCAACTCGAGGCCAAATAGAATCGAGCCCAAGCCAGTCCATGTGGCTCAACGAATTGACCGTTAAAAAAATAAAGTTGCAGGCAACACAACTGCCAACAATGGCAGCACACAGCTGCTTGCATCTACACAGGCAGCTAGCTACCCATGTTTTATATAAAAAAAAAAAGTGAGCCAACTCGGATCAGCTCAAACTTTCGTCTCATGCACTCGTGAACTTTAGGTTCATGCGCTCAGCTCGTCAAACGAACCTCCTGCTCGGCTCAAGCTTGAGCTCGTCCCGAAATCCATGGGCCGAGTTTTGATGAATCGAGCCGACAAGCCGACCAACTATTCAGACCTTTTGCCACCTCTAATTACAACTTTGTTTTTCTAAATGTTTTCTAACGAGAGGGACACAAGATATTCGCGTTTTGTATGAAATATGCAACACTACAAATATTGAACTAAATGAGTTCTCGAATGATCTTTGAACATATAGCCCCCGTTTGACCCTCATTTTTTAAGTAGAAATGGGTGGAATAGTATTTTTTTGAAAAATGAGTGGTTGAAAAAGAAGTAAAAATTTTCGATTTACGTGTAATATTATTTTATGGAAGATTGTATAGTTGAAAATATGATAGAGAAAAATAAAATGTAATGGGGGCCAAACGGGGTCATAGATTACAAGTATTGAAGTTAGGGTCGTTATTGGATTGGATTTTAATCTGAATCTGGTCTGAATTCAGTGAAATTAATGTGAGATGAATTTAAGATCTCAATTCTATAATCCGATCAAAATTTGAATCCGATAATCCGTTAATTAAATTGAGCAAATATGAATATAAGTCAATTCGATTTGATTTTATATAAATAGTTGAGTTAATTAAATATTTTTATGGCATGTTATTTTGTCACTTAAATAAAGCAATTTCGAATAATAAAAAAAAGTCGTCAAATTCAAAACATGAAAAAAATAAAAATTTATCTACATGTACACCATCAATTGTTTGTACGGTATTTTCTTTTGCTTTTCTCATAAGGTCACGAGTCATCCTACATTGGCTTGCATCAAAAAATAAACCAAGGGAACAAGTTATAAATAAGGGATAGACCATTGCTTGGATTTTTCACTATTTGGGCCATATTGATTTAAAATACAGGCGTAAATAATAAGTTAATTTCAACATCGATTTTATCTTTCTAACTTTTTAAAATTTTGGATTGGATATTTGCTAATATAATAAATCGAATATAAATTTAACAATCAAATATTCACTGGATTATCGGATCGGATCGGATCAATGAATTATTCATATTGGATCCGATATGGATAGAGTTGATCCATTTACAGTTGTAATTGATATAGATAAAAAA